GTAACCCGCCCCTCCAACTTATATAAGGAGGGGCAGGGCACCCCAAGGGGGACAGGCTGGATAATCTCGAGGGCTAGACACAACTACAGGAGAGCCGGTTTATGCGGCGACTCCCTCATGAGCATACGGAATACGACCTAGCCACAAACAGCATGTAGGGTTATTGTCGGTTGATGTTTCCCGGGGCTCGAAGCTGTCTAAACCTTTGTCCTGTGTGTTAATCCGCCTCGCGTCTCTCATCCCGATCAACCCCTCTCAAGCTACCACATAGATCCGTTGGCCTCGCGACTAAGTCCTGACACTAAGGACATTTGTCGTGACAGATCCACGACACAAAGGGAGAATGAAGTGTCTGCAACGAACGACAGACGCGAATTGAGGCTCTGCTAGCGAATGAGCTGCTAGCCTCGCCTGAGCAAACGGACATGGTGGCAGGGTTCAGTGCATTGAACAAGCATAGGTGGGTGACGATTCAGGAGGGAACGTTGTATGGTGCGAAATAAAACAATCAAACAACTGCTATAGGTGACCGGCCGAAAATTAGGCTGGTTGGCCAGCGCCCGGAGTGCCCCACAAAAATAGCCACCAAAAAATTCCTAACTACAGGGTCCTAGCAATTACAAATAACTGTCACAAAGCAAATTCAAAGAACCAAGTTGCAAGAGATCAAAGATGGGTAAAACCCAATCCGATGTTTGTTAAATTAAATGTTGATGCTTCTTTCTTTGTAGATGAGGGTGTTGGTGCTTCGGCGGCAGTCATCAGAGACGTGAAGGGTAATTTTCTGACAGCCCAATACAAATATATTCCAAACGCACTTGACATGGTTACTTCGAAAGCTATAGCAATGAGGGACAACTTGATCTTTGCAAATTCACTTGGTTTCAACCGGATAGCAACATTTCACCATCCTTTCTGTCCTTTTACCCGGTTTTTTCTCCACAAAAAATCCGGGTAAAAGGACAGACAAGATGGTGGGATGTTGCTGCTACAATATTCACAGAATGCCTGGATGTATCTTCATTAAGTAGGAAGTTTATCTTTAAACGCTGTCTTGGTTCTTCAAACCAAGCGGCGCACGTGCAGCTAGTTATAGTTTATAGTAATAAAATTGTTGTAACACTTGGACCGATGAGCCTCCGGCCTGTCTGGTTTTCGAACTGTTGGACGATGTAATTCTGTTTGAGATCAATAAAGCTACTCATGTTGCCCTTCCTTAAAAATAAACTTTATTTTACAAGTCCTATAAGTGTACGAACAAAGAGTCGTTTTCCAAAACGGTAGCAACCCAAATTTTCTTCCGTCAACAAACTATATAAAATATGACGTCGATAACTACCACACGTGTGGCACGATGGACACCCGCCCACACGACTCTGTGTGGCAAACCCCGTAGGCAGCCCACACGACTTTGTGTGGGCGAATATTAGAATTGCCCACACGTGTGGCAGGAGGAGCATCCTACCACACGACTCCTTCGGTACAATGGGATCGATCTCACGTACGAATTCGTTTGACAGGGAACCCACACTCCACACGCCTCCATCAGACCAGATCCCTTTTCCTTGTGAAAAAAAACAAACAAAAAGCCCACTAACAACAAATTAAATGAAAAGGCCCAGTTTTTGGTTTTTTTGTACAAATAAAAGCCCAGATTTTGCTCAGATACTAAAAAATGCCATCAGCTGCTTTGAAAATAGCAGAAAAATGTCATTCGAGTTTAACCAAACTATTTGCCATTATATTTGTTTTTTAACAATGGCAAAGGTTTATGAACACATATATAATGCCCAAAATGAAATATGGCAAATCTGCCATGACAAGAAAAATCAATATTGCCATGTAAAAAAAATGCAAAAAGTTAAAAAATTCATGTGCAAAGAACACATAAATTTGACAAGACAATAAAGATAAAAATGCAATTGCATTTTTAATTAAAAATGCCATGAAAGTTTAATCAAAATTGCCGTGTTTTGAAGGAGAATTTTGCCGTGTGTGAGAAAAAACACAAAATGTTGAAAATCAAGTATAAACAAAGAGATTTGCCATGGTAGATTGGTATCAAAGAATTGTCGTGTTTTGTATGATGAATTTAATGTGTTGAAAAACACAAAAAGTTTGGAATTCAACTATGAAGAAGAAACTTGTCATGGCAAATTTGTATCAAAACTTGCCACGACGAAATTCACGTAAACTAAATTTTGCATGAACAAGAAAAATTGCCATGGCAGATTCATATTGAAACTTGCCATGGCAGAAAAAATCATTTAAACTAAATTGCCATGATCAATAAAATAAAATTTCCATGAATTGTAAACTAAATTTGCCATGAACCAATAAACTAAATTTTGCCATGATCAATAAACCAAATTTGTATCAAAACTAGGCACGGCAGACTTATATCAATAATTGCCATGTTCTGGTATGATGAATTTGCCATGTGTGTAAAAAATAGAAAAGTTAAAAAATCATAAATATGAACAGGAAAAATTGGCACGGCAGAAATTCACGTACACTGATTTTGCCATGACCAAGAAAAATTGCCATGGCGGATTCATATTGAAACTTGCCATGGCAGAAAAAAATCATGTAAACTAAATTGCCCCGATTTGAAAACGTATCAAAACTTGGCATGGCAGATTTGTATCAAGAATTGCCATGTTTTGGTATGATGAATTTGCCTTGTGTGTAAAAAACACAAAAGGTTGAAAATCAAAAAATATGAACGAGAAAATTGCCATGGCAAATTCGTATCAAGAATTGCCGCTTGTTTGTATGATGAATTTGCCGTGTGTGAAAAAAAACACAAAAAAGTTGAAAGTCCAGTATAAACAAGAAAAGTGCCATGGTAGATTCATATCAAAACTTGCCATGGCGAAATTCACGTAAACTAAAATTTGCCACGATTTGAAAACTAAATTCTCCATGACTAGTAAACTAAATTTGCCATGAACCAAATAAATAAAATTTGACATGATCAAATAAAAATCAGTTTGCCATGATCAATAAACTAATTTTGCCATGGCCAATGAACTAAATTTGCCATTATCAACAAACTAAATTGCCGTGGTTAACTAAGAAACAAAAGCATAAAGATTGTCGTGGGCGTGTTTAAAAAAAACTAAATTTGCCATGACTAGTAAACTAAATTTTCCATGAACCAGATAAACTAAATTTGGCATGATCAAATAAAATCAGTTTGCCATGATCAATAAACTAAATTTGCCTTGGTCAATAAACTAAATTTGCCATTATCAACAAACTAAATTTGCCATGGTTAAGTAAGAAACAAAAGCATAAACATTGTCGTGGGCGTGTTAAAAAACGAAATTTGCCATGACTAGTAAACTAAATTTGCCATGAACCAAGTAAACTAAATTTGCCATGAACCAAATAAACTAAATTTGACATGATCAAATAAAATCAGTTTGCCATGATCAATCAACTAAATTTGCCATGGTCAATAAACTAAATTTGCCATGGTGTTTTGCTTATAAATAGAAATATACGTTATAGAATTGCCATCGATAAAAGTTTAACAACTGCCATGATTTCTGACCTCAATCTGACCACATGTATTCTGTAAATAACAACACCAGATAATTAACAAGCCTCGTGACCTGGGGTACTACTATAGGTACACATGTTTAAGCTATGTGAGCAACTTAAAATGCCATGGGTGTTAAATTTGCCATGTCTCTGAAATTTACCATGGCATCATCAAAAATTGCCATGACTCTGAAGTTGCCATCACTGCATGCTTGAAAACTGCCCATGGAAACTACAGACTATCCATCCAATTCTAAACAAAATGCTAAATTATCAGATTCAAAACTGTACTAAGATGATTGGTCAAACAAAAATCATCGCCCTGCTGCCGTGTGCATGAACACACAACACACGAAACTGAGAGAGGGAAAATCAAACCTCCATGGCATCGGGTGCCGGAGGAGCACGGAGCAGATGGGCCTTCCTGAAGATCACATCGAGCACACGGATGTCGCCGTGATTGCAGTAGTTGCTGGGCTGCCGCGACGCCCTGACGAACAAGCCGTTGCCTCCCACGACCACAAACCCATCGATGCTGACGACGAACACGGGGTGGCGCTTGCCCGCCGGGTCGAGTAGCTCCGGCCCGCGCCTGCGCCCACCACGGAGGCCGAGCCCCACCAGGGATACCCGCCGGCCCGCCGCCGCCGTTCTCGGGGCAGGAGTTGGCGAGTAGCGCGGCGGCAGCACGCAGATAGACTGGCGCGCGGCGGAGCTCGAACCCCAGAAGTAGCCGCGCGCGCTTGCCTCCTCCGCTTCAGCCATCCGCCCCCCTGACCTCCCCCTCACAGCCGGGAAAACCACGCAACTCTCCCTCACCGCCACCCAAGTCGCCATGGGAGAAGGGGGATCCACCCGGTGCTCACCACCAATGCGCCCCTCACGCCGGCCACCGCCCATCTCGCCGGCCACCTACTGGTCACCACAAAGATACATATGAGAGGGGATTACGAGCAGAGGGGAAGAAGAGGAGCGACACGGGGCGGTGGGAAGAAACCTGGCTGGTGTGGGAGAGGCGCCGGGGTCGCTCGGGGTTGAGCTCCTTGGCGCGTGGCCGCCGTCGATGCGGGGGAAAGGCTCCGCCACAGCTGCTCTAGCGAGTGGAGTGGGGGTGGGGGGCCTGAGGCGAGAGGATAAGGTGCGCTGGACTCGGCAGATGCATTAAGATTCGACATTTAACGCGTTCGGGCCGAATTGTCAACTGCCACACGCGTTCGGGCGAGTAGTGTTTCGCCCGTACAACATCATTTGCTTACGTGGCTTTTGACCCGGATGGTAATTGCTGTAAAATTCGTGCAAACAGATCGAACGGCATCGAGTGCGTGTGGGCAGGTTTCTAAATACCACACGTGTGAGCGTTAGTATTTTCCATAAAATAAAAACCTATACTGTACCTAGATTAGATTCTCCAAAAACCGTGCCTAGCTAGGCTGGATTACAACAAGCCGACGATGTCGTCCAAACGACGCCGTCGCAAGTGCAGCAGGACGACGCCGGCGAGGGAACCCCTCCCGGTCGATCTCCTGCTCGAGATAGTCGTGTGCACCGACGCCATAACCGTCGTCCGCTGCGCCGCCACCTGCAGGATCCTCCGCCGCGCCATCGTCGACCTGGCCTTCCGCCGCCCCCTGGCGCTCCTGTCTGCGACCGATGGCCGCGGCTTCGACCCCTCCCTCCTCCTCGGTGTTTCCTACCTGCGACGGCGACACATCCCTCGTGTGATCCCCACCCCAACTCCGCCCCAGATCCACATCCGCCCGGGCACCCACAGCCTCCCGGACTCGTTCGAGCCCCGGACGTCTCGCGACGGCCTGCTCCTTCTCTGCCGGTACGGGCGGTCAGGTAACCTCCAGCTGCGCGTCTGCAACACCTTCACCGGAGACGTAACCTCCTGTCCCAAATTCGACGAGACGTACGCGCCCGTCTTCCTCAGCGTCGGCGACGCCGGTGGCTCCTACGAGCTGCTCGTCTACAGCAGGAACATGCGGTTCCGGACCTTCTCCTCGAAGCATGGCCAATGGGGCGTCATCCGCCAAGCCTCCGTCGCCGAGCACCACCAAAAGCCGAAACGGCTGCTTGTCTCCCGTCCCGCCGTCATCGGCCGCACCGTCTTCTGCCTCTGCTGCCTCCTAAACGCCCAGATTGGGTACCAGCCGGACGGCATCGTCGCTCTGGACGTCGACGCGGCAGAGGCGACGACCATGAAGCTCCCGCCAGGCTGCACCTCCACAACCACAAGGATCCTCCGTGACGAAGACGAGCACCTCCTCTTGGCCTCCGTGCGTGGCCGTCTGAGCTTGCTCGTCGCCGTGAGAGGTGGGATATCGATGTGGACCTTGACGCCGGCCTCGTCGCCTGAGTCCCCGGCGACCTGGAACTGGCGGCTGGGGATCGGTAGGGTGGAGTTTGAGAAGCAGGTGGATCAGGTCGGCTCGCCTCCTCGATATGTTATTGAGGGGTTCGGAGAGAGGAGCGGCACAGTTATCGTGCGGGGCAGCAGCGACCTCCTCCGGGTTGATCTAGGAACCAAGGTCGTCACCAAGTTCCATTGCTCGCGAAATGCGTTGGTCGCGTACCCGTTTTTGTTATGGCACGAGGAAGATTTGGTCTCTTTGCTTCAAGCCATGAAGTATTTCTGAACATGCATGTAGCTAGGTCATGCGCTCTGTCAATTCCATTATTTACTGCATTATTTGTACTACGTTATTATGGGTATATATAGAGTGCTAATTGAGGTGATGGCCTTTTCTTTCGCAAACCGTGTAATTCGGGAACAGTGATATTCGAATTGTTGCCGAAACTGTGTAATGTTTTAATACCCAATTTTGCACATTCATACACAGTGATGGCCTTTTCTTTCGCAAACTGAAACCCTCAAAATAGGCTCTACTTTATTAATATCAACATCGCAAACAATGTAGTACAAAGAGGAATGTCCCTAAGGCCTCATTTGACAGGGGAGGTTTTGCAGCCCCGGGGTGGAGGGGGATCTGAGAGGATTTGGTTAATCCCTCTCTTTCACCCAATCCCCTCAATTCCCCATTAATCCCTTCCCCTCATAAACTCCTCTATTTGGTTAAACCTTCTACAACAGCAGCAGCAAAGCAAACGTTGGTTAGCTAGAGATACCTTGGAGAATAGGAACCCTAGAGATACCTTGGTTAGCTAGAGCTTCCATTACCTTAAAAAAAGGGAAAAAACTAACGCCCACACGTGTGGTCGTTTGCACATCACTCACACGCCTTCATCACCATTTATTTTGTCACGTATGATCAGATGACATCAACAGAAATCTTTTTGGTTTTCGACTTAAAAATATTTTATCTCCTAATTTAAAAAGAGAATTAAAAATCCGTTTTCACCATTAAATCAGTCTCGGCGAGATCTTCAAAACTAGACCTCATGTTGATATGTTTCGACGATTTTTTTTTGCTCAAAAGTTGTCATGATGTTTACACTGTAATTGCCATGGTGCTTAAACTAAAGTTGCCATATGGCAATTTTAGTTTGTAGATCATGGCAATTTTAATTTTTGATGATGGCAATTCCATTACTTTGACCATGAATTATTCTTTTGCATGAACCATGACAATTTTAAGTGCATGTATCATGGCAATTTTAGTTTATGGTGCACGGCAAGTCTAGTTTCTTAATTCCATGTTTTATAATATGTCAAAATTTATTTTTAAATATAGAAGAAAATAGTTGAAATATATCATGGCAACTTTAGTGTAAACATCATGACAATTCATGTGCAATAGACATGACAACTTTTAACCAAAATAAAATTTTATCGAAATATATTGATATGAGATCTAGTTTCGAAGATCTCGTCGCGAGGGATTTAATGGTGAAAACGGATCTTTCAATCAGATTTTCATTTAAAAGATAAAACATTTTAAAAACTAAAACATGCATGCATGCGCTGACATGGCGTAGTCTGTATGTTATATGGCGTGTGGACGGTTTGGCTCCCACCACACGTGTGGCTTTAGCGTTGTCTAAAAAAAAGCTACAGCTTCCAATGATCCTAAAAAAAAAAGCTAGAGCTTCCAATATTCTACGAGTCATGAGTCGTGACTGCTGGAAGGAAAAAGAGAGTCCAACGATCTCACGCCTAACAAGCCAACGACGATGTCGACCGAACGACGCGCTCGCAGGTGCAGCAGCACGGAGAGCACGACAGCGCCGGTGACAGGAGCCCTCCCGATCGATCTCCTGCTCGAGATCGTCGCGCGCTCCGACCTGACAACCTCGTCCGCTACGCCGCGACCATCAGGATCGACCGTTGCGCCATCCTCGACCCCGCCTTCCGTTGCCGCCTCGCGCTCCGGCTTCGACCCCGCCCTCCTCCTTGGACTCTCCTTCCTTCGGTGGACCAAATACAGCGTGGTGCCCGCCCGTCGCGTGATCCACACCCCGTCTCCATCCAAGCACTGCGTCCACCTCGACACCGACAGCAGCCTCTGGAAACCGTTCGAGTCCCTGGCGGCGCGCGACGGCCTACTCCTCCGCCGCCGCTACAAAGTTCCTTCCATCGACCCCGAGTCTCCCGGCCTCTTAGAGCTGCACGTCTACAATACCGTCACCGGCCGCATCGCCCATCTCCCTCCCACCAGCGTGCGCGACGACTACCACGCGTTCCTCAGCAGCGGCGACGGCGGCAACGCCGGGTTTGGATTTTTAGAGCACATGCACCCCGGCCCTGTTATCTTAGGCCAACTCCATCGCGCGATCCTAAATGGACGTCCGAATTGGCCTGAATCTGTCCCTTTGGGGCGCCGATGGGTACGCCCGTGTCCGGCTGTGTCCATTGGGTCGTGCGTGCGCCCACCGCGCGGCCGCACCCCAAATCGTGTCCGGGGTGCACGGGATTAAAAATAATAATTAAATGACTAAAAAAGCAAATAAACATATTTTAAAAAAACATAAAACATATATATGGGTTGGCCACAAAACGGCCCAGTTTCAACTGCCACTTAAAAGACCCAGATTCATAATTAACATAATAAGAAAATAAAAAAAACTCCTCCCGCGCGCTTCTGTCGCGCCCGTCGGTGCCGTGGCCGTGGCCGTCTTCACTGGCCGCCGGTGCCGTCGTCGTCGTCGCTGACGAGGTCGACGTACTCTGGCGGCGTCCAGAGGTGGGCCGGCGGTGCGTGGTGGACGGGGGCGGGCTGGACGGCCGGAGGTGCCTGCACCACCTCCTCCCGCGGCGACGCGTCCCGCTCCGGAGTGGGGCACCAGTTCACGCCCAAGTCGGCGGCCATCTCCGGCGCAGTGCACGACCAGCCCAACTCCTGGCCCAGGAGCTTCTCGAACGCGGGCGAGTCCTCCTCCATCGGCTCCTCCTTGGCGGCCGCCGTGACGGCCGCCAGCTGCAGCTCCGGGAATGCGACGTCCCTGGCGGCAGAGAGGGCCATGGCCTCCTCCAGGCCGTCCCACTGCCGCTCGTCGTGCGTGTTCATGGAGTCGTCCATGACACGCTGCAGGAGACGGGCCTCCTCCTCCGCTGTCATGCGAGGAGGGGGAGGGGGCGACGGAGACGGGGAAGGCGACGGCGTGGGCGTCAGGCCACGCACCCGCGTACGCCTGCGCGGCTCTGCACGTGGCCTCCGCGGCCCCGACATGGTGCCGGCGAAGTAGGACGCGCGCCGCACGTCGTGCTCGTCCTAGAGCCATGTGTCCCAGAGCGGCGAGTCGGGGGCATACCTGTGGGCGTAGTACAGGTCTTCGGGGAGGAGGCGGCGGCGGCGGTTGATCTCATCACGCCGTGCACGGCCAGTCGCCGGCACTGGCGGGATGGGGACCCGGTCCGCGGAGAGGTGCCACCTGTTGGGGAGGTGGGCGTCGCTCCACGGGACCGGCGTCCTCGTCTCCCAGTACCTCCGGCACACGTCCGCGCAGATGTACTGCCGGTCGCGCTCGCCGGAGGGCCTAGGGGCAATGGTGAAGGGGGCCAGTGCGGGGGCTCGACGGGAGGAGTGCCGCGGTGGCGCGGGGGCCCGACGGGAGGAGCGCGGCGGAGACGCGGGCTCCTCCTTCTTCATGGAGCCGCGGCGGCGCCCCGAGGAGGAGCCGGCCTCGTGGTCGTGCTTTCCCTTGCCGTTCCAGAAGCCCATGGCGAGGTGGGCGGCCGGCGAGCTCGAGGAAGAGTCGGGCTAGGGTTTCTGCGCTGTCGGGGTTTGAGGAGGCCGCTGGGTGGCGTGGGGCAGTGTGGACGACGACCCGTCCACGCTTCCCACTTAAAGAAGGACGGCGACCGCTCGACGTGCGGATGACAGGTGGGGCCGCCCGCTCGTGCGCATTGATGTGGGTGGGTGGAAGGTGGGTGGCCGCCTGCCACGCGGCCCCGATGCGGACGAGCGCGCGTCCGTTTGGTGTCCGCCGCGACCCAAACCCGGCGCAAGTTTGCGCTCGAAATGGATCGGCCCGGATACAAAACGGACAAGATGGATCCGGGCCGTCGCGCGCTGGGCCGCCTCCTTTGTCCCTTTTACCCCAAACGGACGGGGCCGGACAGGATAGGGTCGCGCGGTGGAGTTGGCCTTAGATCTTCAATATCGTTTAAGATCCGTGCGACACAACTAACTTTCTATATGAATTTTTTTTCTTTTTTGTTTCTCCCGGATAAATCATATCTTGAAGTTCAAATCTGTGCAGCGTGGCAAAGCTTTCTAAGTAGAATCTAGGATAAATCTTTAAGAATTATTTATCCGATATAAATACTAAAAATATGATTTTTTTAATCAAACAAAATGTATTTTCTATATTTATGTTTGACAAAAAAATCTGAAAGATTTATCCTAGATTGTACCTAGAAAGATTTGTCACGCTGCATAGGTTTTTACTTTAAGATATGTTTTGTGTGGGAGAAATAAAAAATAAAAATATACTTGCACGAATTACAATGCGAAAAATGGATGGCCAGGGTGCAGGTGCTATATTATATATTTTTCCAACGTCGGAAGCTCCTACGAGCTGCTCCTCACGGACAATCACATGAAGTTCTAGATCTTCTCCTCGAAGAACTTCTTCGAGGGTCAATGGGGAGCTGTCCGAGAAGCCCCCCTCCCTAAGCAGTGCCCCGCCCCATCTGCGTGCCTCCTCCTGCCTGGTCGTCGTCATTGGCCGCACCGTCTACTGGCTCTGCCCTGCCAACTTCTAAGAATGGGAGGGGTCCTACGGGATCTTCGCTTGCGCTCTGGACGTCGACGCAGCGGAGGAGACGACTATACAGCTCCCGCCAGGCTGCTTGTCCAGAAATTCTGAATCAGAATGATGCTTCACAAGAAAGACAAGCACCTCCTCTTGGCCTCCGTGCGTGGCCGTCTTAGAGCATCTCCAATAGCATGTGCATATTTGGATGTCTATATATTCATATAGATAATGGTCTAAAAAGATCCCCTCATATACACGTCTAGTTTTGCATCAGAACGTCTATATACAGGGACTATGACAGGTGGACCGTTGCCGGGGAGAGAAAAAAAATCACGACTGCAACTGAGTTTAGACCACGCCTTCACATTGTCCAGGCATGGACATTGTCACTGTCGATTTAGAGGATGTGTATATTTGGACGACCATATAGACAAGCTGTTGGACGTCTATTTTGGGCTCACATCGTGAAAAACGAGTA